GGGCGCCCAGGGTCGCTCGCGCTGCGGTGGGGTGGCGAGGGGCGGGGACGCGAGGGGCGCCGCTCCGCGTGATTGTGGGCCGCGCGGTTCGCTGGGCGAGGGGCTGCTGCGCGTAGAGGGCCCAGGGTGGGTGGGCTTTGAGAGAGAAACTTTCCTTGGACCCGGCCACAGGCCCAGGACTTGAGAAGCCGAGGACCTGGCAGGGGCAGGCAGGAAACTGGTGTGTGGAAGCTACTGCTTCCGCGTGACCTTGGGGCGAGGCACCTCGGTCTGGGGCTCGGTGGATGGGATTTTATGGCATTTCTCAGTGCGGGCTCCACGTCCACTCTTCGGTCCACCTCCAGGCCGGAAGCATTACTATTCCACGTTCAAAAGAAGAGGTCTGAAAAGGAAAGAGGTAACTGGTTCGAGGCCACACGGCCGGCGCCACACAGCACCACTGGCTGCCCTGGGATCCGCCCTCTGCACGCCTACCGCCTCAGTTTCCCTGTCCGTGGTGCTGAGGATTCAGGGGCCTTAACGTTCAGGGAGGAGACACATGCGTCCGCAGTAGAGTCACCGCAGCAGAGCCACCGCAGCCTCCAAGAACGCTGGCCAAAGGTGCCTGCCACGGAGCTGCTGGCTTCGTGGACGCTGTGACCTGCCCCTCTGCAGGAGACACCGCGTGACCATGACTAACGCACCTTTGCCCCGGGTGCGGAGAAGCGGACCAAGGGTCTCAGCTTCCTTGTGCCCACACACTCCCCCATAGCCCTCTCTCCTCTTTGGCCCCACAGGAGTAAGTAGGTTACCAGTAATATAAAAGCTACAGATCCTATGTTGTGGGACATGAGGAGGGTTGAGAGGTCCTCGTGGCTGCCAAGGATAGAGGAAATCCAGCAAGCGGCTCACAGGAAATGGCTTCTTTGCTGGGATTTTAGTATGTCTGAAATAAAATCTCTGCCAAAAAAAAAAAAAGTGTGTACTTGTCTGAACTTGCTCCAAGAAAAATGATCCCACTGAGCAAAAGGACACCAGTGAAAAGGAGCTTTCAACAAAGCTACTGGGGAAATAGGCCTGTGTGGTTGACAGGAAGCAGGGAGGAGAGGCCCAGGCCTCCAGAGGTGGGACTGGATGTTTGAAAGGCTGAGGAATCTAGATTTCCAGTTAAGGTGGCATTTAGATAAGAGGGCCAAGGACTTGATCTAAAAATACCAGCTTACACTTTGGGGGAGGGAAGCTGTGTGCCTGTCTGCTCAGGTGCCAAAGCCCTTTGTCCCCCACCAGTTTGGTAATCACAGAGGAATGCTGGAAATCAGGCCAAGGAAAGAGGCACTAGAACTGAGTTATGACTTCTATAATTTGAAGTCTTTCCAGCATGTGTGGGTTTGGCTGTGAAAACCTTGGGCATCTCTGGGACTGCCACTCCCTGTGAGAGTAAGATACTATCTCAGTAAAGGGTTGAAAAAGCTACTGAGAAAAGTAGATGTGCGGCTGTGGGGTTAGGGTAGACACAGATGGGCCACTAAGCACAATGTGATGCTGCTCCATGTCTACTTGTCTGTCAGTGTCTGAGGTATAAAACAGCATAATATTTACAAAGAACCTGCCACATGCTCCCTTAGACCTTAAAGCCTCTCTGGATGCCTTGTCATACCTAATGCAATGTAATGCCATGTAGATAGTTGTTATACTGTATCATTCAGGGAATAATGACAAGGGGGAAAGTCTGTATGTGTTCAGACAGGTGCAATTTTTTTTTTACATATTAGGTTTTGAACCCAGGGCCTTCTAACTGAGCTACATCACCTTTTCAATTTTTTTTTAATTTTGAGACAGAGTCTTGCTAAGTCACTAAGTTGTCCAGGCTGGACTCAGACTTTGGATCTTTCTGCCTCAGCCTCCCAGCGTGCAGGAATTACAGGTGTGTGCCAACATGCCCAACTCTAGAATATTTTTGATCCCAAGTTGTTTGAAGCCACAGAGGTGGAACCCCTGGACACAAAGAGATGACTCTAATTTGTTCTAGAGCATGGTCATTGCTCTGGTCTTCAAAGAGCTAAAATTGTGATGGGGAGCTACCTCTGCTCATTTTATCCTTCCACTATCACCATTCTCTGCCCCACTCTCAGAGGAGATCTCTGGGACATTTGAGGGAACATCAGGTTGCCTAGAAGGAGGTGATTTGTTTCATACCAATGATCTGAGTGTTCAGAGAAGGGTGACGATGACCTGAGTGTTCAGAGAAGGGTGACATCACAAGACACAGGCAGTTCTCAATAAAATTATGGGGGGCCCAGCCCTAGCTCAGTTCTTTAAGTGGCTGCTTCCACAATGCTGGCAGCCTCAGTTTGCTGTAGTTTGATCCCCACAACACTCCAGCCATGCAAAAGTGCCCTGAAGGCATTCAAGGAGCAAAACACACACACACACACACACACACACACACACACACACACAAATTCCTTATTCAATAAAATTATGGGGGAAAAAAAAAACAAAACAAGACACAGGCAGAATCTTAAGGGTGTTGCTCACGTCTTATGTCACATGTCTGGGAGAGGCTTGCCTTAATTCACCAGAGCATTCACTCCCAAAAGGCTTCTCTTGGCCATGGTTACACTCAGAGGATGCCCTGCTGAGGCCACCATAAAGCCTACATGAAGGAAGATACTATTCAAAGGATATTGTCTAAAAAGAAAAAAAATCAGATATGAAGTTACACAAATTTCTTTATATTTAGTACATTTTCTGGCCAAACTTGATTGGCTGTTGGTTTTTAAAAATTACATTTTAAATGAACAGGTTTAAATAGCTAGGCTTTTCAGAGGTGTAAAGAATAGGAGATATCTCCACTCTGTAGAACTTTAAAATCGGATTCTAATATTGGGAAGATAGTCTTACTGCTCCCAGGCCCACATCCATACCTCTGTCTTCCTCCACGCCACCTCTGGCACCTGCCCCAACCATTTTTTCAACTCCAGAAAGCTAGGAGCATGCTACTGTTACTGATCCCTCTTGGCTATTTCTGTGTTTTTTTTTTTTCAGTCTGTAAAGATTCTAGTAAGTCTTTTTTTTTTAAATTATTTATTTATTTTTATTTATTACATTTATTTATTGTGTGTGTGTGTGGCCAGCTCAGCCAACCAGGGGGCGGGGCTGGCTGGCATGTGGCGCTGGGGGATCGAACCGTGGTCCCTGTGCTTTGCCAAGCTTGTTTCAAGTAGGTGCTTTAGGCCACTGAGCCATCTCTCCAGCCCCTCTAGTAAGTCTTATACTGACCAATGAAAGCAGTGTCATATGTGCTTATCGCAGGAATAGATTCAGACTGCTGGAATTCCAAATTTTATGTGCAACTTGGAGCTGCTTATTAGTTTGGGGCCAGAAGTTTTTGTATGAAATAAGTATATTAATAGTACTCACCTCAAAAACTTTATTTTTTTAAATAGTTTTGTTGGGAAACAAATAGCAGTGAGATAGTTTCAAGGTTGACTGGTGGGACGGTTTTGATAGTTAATACATTGCATACTGTTGTCTTCTTAGTGGTTGTTTGTAGTGCAGGATGCAGACAGGATATCCTGTCCATAGGCACTATTTGTGCAGATCTTTCTATCCATTGAATTCAGAGAAAGTGGCTGTATTTTATCCTATTTTGAATATACAGATATAAAATGGTCCTTTATTTATATTAAACTTTATGATGTTTAAATAAATGAGAATAAAGTGTTTATAAAAGAAAAAAAACAAAGGATATTGTCTAAATTTCTTTCCTTTATCACTAATGGCAGAAACCTCAGGAGAAACACTTCAACAACTCTGAAGCTCAGCTTTGTTATCTCATTTTTTTTGTTTGTTTGTTTGTTTGTTTGTTTTCGGTCTTTGTGAGACAAAGTCTCACACTATGCAGTTCAGGCTGGCCTTGTGCTCACTTTATAGTCCAGGCTGGTCTCAAACTTGCAATAATCCTTCCTGCCTCAGCCTCCTGAGTGCTGGGATTACAGGCATGGGACACCATACCCAGCTTGTTATTTCCATTTAACAAATCATAAAACTGAGGCTCTAAGCAATTAATAATCCACCCCAGACCACACATGAATAAATGACAGAGCCTGGGGCCAGACCCAGACAACTTTGCTACAGAGCTTCTGGATGGGCTCAGCAGCTTCTACCATATGGCTCAGATGGGCTGGGGAGATGGCTCAGTAGAATAAGTGCTTGCCTGGCAAGTGCAAGGGCCTGAGTTCAATCCTCGGTTCCACCAAAAATAGATGGATAAATAAATAGGAGCAACACCATATGGCTCAGACACTAAGGGTTCTCCAATTCACTCTCCCTAGAGGGCATAACTGTCCCAGCTCTCCTCTGAATACCATCTTGGGGCATGCCCAGCCCCAGAACTGTGCCCTTGAGTCAGGTGCCCACTTGGATCAACCAGTCATAACCAAGTAGCTGGTGCCAGACATGAACAACAGGAGGTGGAGACAAGGTAGTGCCTTCCAAGGGGTGGCCATGTGGGAGTTCTGAAGCTAGGTGCAGCACCTGTTAGGTGTCGCACAAGTCTCTGCTTTGAAGAAGGTCCACGTGGTTCACATCCTTTATTCTGTCACAAACATGCCTGAGCCATAGGTCCTTACCTCCCAAACTTGCAAGCATAGTGGAGGGAAAAATGGCTCTAGAATCTGGTAGTCTAGATTCAGATCCTGCCTCTACCACTTCCTGGTG